TTCTAGTTGTAGAATTTACACTCAGCCAGCCTTCCTGTGGTTCTGGATGATGTCCGTTTTGTCTTTTCGTTGTACTTTTGAAGTGGTTGTGCGAGGCGGCAATCTCTGGTGTTTACCTATGCCGCCATCTTGGTTTCTCCCCTTTTTTTGTTTTTATAGGAAAGGTTTATATTGATGGAATTGTCAGTTTTTCTTTTTGTGTCAAGAGCTAACTTTGATGTGTTAAAACTAAGTAAGATGCATTTATTCAATCCAAAGCAGGCATCAAAAAGAAAAACCCCAAATGCTCTCTTGTATCCATTTTAAGAGTAGGATTGGCGCTTTCCGCTATTACCTGAGTCCTGATCTATCACCCCAGGGAGAGCTTGCCAATCCTGCCCTTTCCCGGGGTGGAAAGGCTGCAGTGGGGATAAGATAAGGATCCTTGGGCCTACCTTCTCCCAGGCCTCTACATTTACCTTTCCGGCACCTTTCCTTCCTCAGAAAAGCATGAACATACTTCTTGTATAAAACGTACCGTCTGACTGGGAGTAACCTTAACTCCTGTGCTAGCAAGCATGTGTGTTAAAAGATCAATACGGAGTCTTTTTTCTTTGGACTCAGTATGGCACATCTTCTCAATCTAAGGTCCGTACTATCCACCTTCTTACCCTACTTACCCTCTATAGGGGGGTCTGCAGCTCCCTGGTGGAGTCCTATCCATCCCGAGTGTGTGGGGGTTCTCAATGGGGGGGGGGGCTTACCTAGGGGAATCCTGTTCCAGGGGTTCCCAAAAGTGTGGATGGAGTCGGCAAAGACTATCCACCCTCTTCCTACGGTGGAGTCCTATCCATCCCAAGTGCGGGAGGGATTACCTAGGGGAATGGGGGGCTTACCTAAGGGTCCCTGTTCGGGCACCATATGTTGGGGTCCAGCCCCAGCAGGTCCAGGGGTTCCCAAAGGTGTGGACGGAGTCGGCAAAGAAGGAAGGACATGGCTGCAGCGTTCAGGTGATCATCATAGCGAGGTGCTCTCTGTATTGTCCAGTTACATCTGTGTTTATACCATTTGATCCCATAAGCATGCCTCTATAACCACATCATGGTATGTTTTGGGTAACGTTCTACAGTTCCTTGTTTCTTATCTGACCTTTGCCAAATATCTGGTCTCCATCTAGTTCTGTTGATTTAAATGTCATCTAGGTTAATCTCTGTGTTCCATCACAAGGGCCATTCCAAGGTCACTGCTCTACAGATAGGCTTCAAGGAAGTGACTGAAGGAGTTTTTCCTCCCAGTAAAGGTTATGTTCTCCCGGCCTGGCTGCTTGCCTTCCCTGGGACCGCCCTGTGTGGTGGGTCTCCAGGGGTATAGGCTTTGCTGCTTTCCCTGGTGGGCAGACCCCTGGGGATGTGGGCCCAACCAGTCCCAAATTTATTGCCAACAGTCTTAGTCCAAGTCCTTCATAAGTAGTACATGGTATTTCTGTAACACTAGGGGGGTTCACTGATTTATTCTCTTCCTTAGTCTTGTTACCCCCTAACCTGAGGAAACAACCTTTCTCGGTGAGGTTGTCCTGGTTAAAACACATAGTGCTAAGAGGGGGAGCGAACATATGTCATATACGCCAAGTCCCCACACACAGGAGATGTCCCTCACGGTCTCAGCCCTGTGGCTGGACCACCCGGGGGCCTGGAGGGCAGACCAGAGGTGTGGGGGTGGAGGTGGGGGACCCTAGGGCTGGGCAGAAAGAGCCCCCGCACCCCCAGCTCCCTGGACTGATGTGGAAACATGGCCTGGTGCCGGGGAGACGGGGAGACGTTGGCCTCAGCTGAGTGGGGACAGCAGGGCCATCAGGCCCCTCGTTAAGGACCTAATGACCCTGCAGCCCCAGAGGTGCTGACGGCCAAGGCGGGTTCCTGGGCACCCAGCACACTCTGCTCCGGGCAAATGGTCCGGAACGTGTAGCCTCAGCCCCGGGCCATCTGCCACCCCCTGGGGTGCCAACCGGCCCGGCAGGTGGGGCTATAAAGCAGGCCGGGCCCGGCAGCCCCCAGCCCTCCGCCCTCCGCCCTCCGCCCTCGGCACCCACAGGCTGTCAACAAACCAGTGGGTCAGGGACACTGGGCTTCTGGGTTCGGGCCCCCCTCCTGGGTCGGGGCAGCCCTTCCAGGTACAGGGTTTTGGGCTTTTCCAGGGATGCGGGCTGTTCCCTCAAAGCGCTGGAGGGTGAGCACCGGGTGGGGGGGTCCCCGCCGGGCACGGGCCCCTCACTGGCATCGACCCCACCCGTCCCCAGTCCTCGACGCCCGGCCATGGCCCTGTGGACGCGCCTCCTGCCCCTGCTCGCCCTGCTGGCCCTCTGGGCGCCCGCCCCCGCCCAGGCCTTCAATCACGAGCACCTGTGTGGCGAGGATTTGGTGGATATCATGACCATAATATGTGGAGATCAGGGCTTCAAAAATCCCAAGGCCGCCCGGGAGCTGCCCGACCCGCAGGGTGAGCCACCACCCCTCACCCCTCGGTCACATCCTAAAGGGACCGGCTCCCTGGCCAGCGTCGGCTCCAGGGAAAGAGAGTGGGTGACCCCCGAGGGGGGGCCTGTTTCCTCCCTGACTTCCATCCCCCCTCAGACAAGCACCCGCCTGCTCCCTCTGCCTCGGACTGCAGCTGCCCGGCAGTGTCATCTTGGGGTTCGGTCCTGGCCATGGGGGTGCCCCCCTCTCCTCCCTGAATGCCTGTGGCGCCCAGGAGCGGGGCAGGCTGTGTGAGGTTGCCCTGGGGGCCGAAGGCAAAATGCAGGGGCCACCCCGGGGGCAGGGCCCGCTCTCCCCAGGTCTGCTCGGGGCAGGACCAGCGTGGGGTCCCCGGGCGGCCCTGATGGCAGATCCCCGTCTCTCCTCCTGGGCAGAGGGGGAGGTGGACATGGGCGCAGGTGGCCCAAAGGCCCTCACCGTGGAGGAGCTCCTGCAGAACACTGACATCGTGGAGGTGTGCTGCACCAACATCTGCTCCTTCTATGATATGGAGACCTACTGCAACTAGGCCGCCCTGGGCCTGGCCGCTCCCTGCCCCCCGAGACCCAATAAACCCCTGAACCAGCCTTGCCTGTGTGGTCTGTGCGGTGTGGGCGGGTGGGGGGGGAGCAGGCACAGGGGCCACCGCCTTGGGCATGGCTGCTGTGGGGCACCCCCGAGGTCCCCCTCTTTCTCTTGCACTGGCCCCTCTGAGCCTCCTCCACACTCACCCGGTGCCCTGGGCAGGTGGTACTGCCCCCAGGTGGCCAGCTCCTTCAGCACCCGAGGTCCCTGCCTGGTCCTGGGTGGACTCCCGTCCACGGCCGCTTCAGGAGGGACAGAGAAGGGGGGCCTTGGGAGGCTGGGAACGGGGCTGGCAGGGAGCTGAGCCTTCACTCAGCCCCGAGCGCTCGGGCCCCGGGGGCTGTTGGGGGAACAGAATGGGCTGTTCAGGAGGCTGCCCCCACTTTTGGGCGGAGAAGCCCGCTGCTGGGGCCTCCTGGGGGGGCCCTCGGAGGGGAGAGGCTGGGCCGAGAGGGAAGAGGAGGGCATGAGATGCTGCCCAGCTCGGGGTGGGCTAGGCAGCCAGGGACCCCAGCCCGGACCCGGCAGGAGGAGCCCCGGGGCCCTGGGGGACACAGGACAGGACAGGCAGCACCCCGGGACCCCGTGCTGGGGCTCCGGGCTGTGTCCCCCACAGGCTACAGCCCACAGCCCTGGGTTGAGGCCGGGACCCCGCCCCCTCCGCCCTCTCCTCCCCCCGACAGCCACGTCCCCCCGCCCCACGCCGGCGGTCACCCCCAGACCTGCCACCAGGTCCCTCGAGGTCCAGGTCTTCACCCTCCTCAGCACCCACGGCTGCCCAGGTGGCTCCACTGGGCACTCCCTCAGGTCCCGCCTGGCAAGCCAGGGAGCCTGGGAGGTCAGCGGGTGACCTGACCCCACCAAGGCCTGGCCAGCCTGCCGGCCACTGGGCCAGGCCAATCTGTACCTTAACTCCTGTGCTAGCAAGCATATGTGTTAAAAGATCAATACAGAGTCTTCTTTCTTGGACTCAGTACGGCACATCTTCTCAATCTAAGGTCCGTACTATCCACCTTCTTACCCTACTTACCCTCTATAGGGGGGTCTGCAGCTCCCTGGTGGAGTCCTATCCGTCCCGAGTGTGGGGGTTCTCAATGGGGGCGGGGGGGCTTACCTAAAGGAATCCTGTTCCAGGCGTTCCCATAGGTGTGGACGGAGTCGGCGAAGAAGGAAGGACACGGTGGCACCGTTCAGGTGATCATCATAGCGAGGTTCTCTCTTTATTGTCCTGTTACATCTGTGTTTATACCATCTGACCCTATAAGCATGCCTCTATAATCACATCATGGTATGTTTTGGGTAACGTTCTACAGTTCCTTGTTTCTTATCTGACCTTTGCCAAATATCCGGTCTCCATCTGGTTCTGTTGATTTTAATCCTGTCTAGGTTAATCTCTGTGTTCCATCACAAGGGCCATTCCAAGGTTGCTGCTCTACTGATAGGCTACAAGGAAGTGACTGAAGGAGATTATCCTACCCAGTAAAGGTTATGTTCTCCCGGCCTGGCTGCTTGCCTTCCCTGGGACTGCCCTGTGTTGGTGGGTCTCCAGGGGTATAGGCTTTGCTGCTTTCCCTGGTGGGCAGACCCCTGGGGATGTGGGCCCAACAAGTCCCAAATTTATTGCCAACAGTCTTAGTCCAAGTTCTTCATAAGTAGTACATGGTATTTCTGTAACACTAGGGGGCTTTATTGATTTATTCTCTTCCTTAGTCCTGTTAACCCCTAACTTGGGGAAACAACCTTTCTCAGGGAGGTGGTCCTGGTTAAAACACATAGCGCTAAGAGGGGGAGCAAACATATGTCATATACGCCAGGTCCCCACTCAAAGGCGATGTCCCTCAGGGTCCCAGCCCTGCGGCTGGACCACCTGGGGGCCTGGAGGGCAGACCAGAGGTGTGGGGGTGGAGGTGGGGGACCCTAGGGCTGGGCAGGAAGAGCCCTCACGCCCCCAGCTCCCTGGGCTGATGTGGAAACATGGCGTGGTGCTGGGAAGACAGGGAGACGTTGGCCTCAGCTGAGTGGGGACAGCAGGGCCATCAGGCCCCTCGTTAAGGTCCTAATGACCCTGCGGCCCCAGAGGTGCTGACGGCCAAGGCGGGTTCCTGTACACCCAGCACACTCTGCTCCGGGCAAATGGTCCGGAACGTGTAGCCTCAGCCCTGGGCCATTTGCCACCCCCTGGGGTGCCAACCGGCCCGGCAGGTGGGTCTTTATACCTTGCCGGATCCGCCAACCTCCAGCCCATCGCAAACGGCATGATGAACTTGAATCGACAGCGGCATCAGCACGTCGTCACTTTGCATATAAGTTTGCCTATGGGGAAACTGGGGGCGAAGAAGTTGTCCAGATCGCGACTGTTTAAATCGAACTGGTGAAAGTCATGCCCGGGATTGGCTGA